TGCACATTGAGTAATAAGGTTATGGTGATGATCCTGAAATGAAATCTGTGTTCCGTTGCATGGTGTTTTGTTTATAATTCAGCCTCTCAACAAAATGCAGGTCAACCCTTGTCAAGAACTAAACCATAAAGTCATCTTTGAAGGTATTTTAGATTAACATATGATTTGTATTGATTGTCACACAGTGGAAAGTTCAGTACTGAGAAACAAATGTAGAGACAATATAGTGAAATTAATTGTGTACTATGGCCTTCAGCCGATGGTAGCTCCAAAGCCACAAGAAATACGGATAAGTGTATAAAATGTACACCAATGTGTGCAGATAAAAGTGGCTGCGAACGATTACCGGAATTTGGCATAATCTAAACAAGCCACAGCTTAGGGCCCCAAAGTCTGAACTCAGTCTGAAGGCCCCCCTCAAATTCATTTTATACCAAATATGTCCTCGATAGCTTCCCATAGCTTAGGGCCTCGATTTGTCTAAATCCGGCACTGGCTGCGAATAATTTTAGCTTTTAATAAATAGGAGATGTCAATCCCTAACCTGAAAATCAACATCATCACTGATTTTTGGGGGTGTGGGTTGAAATATAAAAATGCATCTTTATTCAACGGAGATTAAGAAATAAATTGAAGACAACTACATCAAAGATTAAATCATAACAGCCTTAAGGCGCCAAATTGATCATATACCTCTGAATTAACTTTTCACTCTCAACGAAAAAGGAAAAATAAAGTGAAAGCAAACACGAAAAAGAAAGATGACAATATGGAGATTGGCTAATAATAACTTCCAACTCTGACATTTGCTCAATGAGTTTTGCAATAAATAAGTTTACAAAATTAAAAAAAAAATTGGTATACATATTGAAATTTTAGTTGCAAAATATATATTACATTTTATTTTTAGCTAACCATTAAATATATGCATGATGTTTCCCTTCCTTGGTATCCATTCCTACTATAATGAAGGACAATTCAGTTTATTGCTAATCACTATCATTTTCTGTCCCATTTTCTCTTTCTTTCCATCCTTTGACCATTAATACATCTTCAATGCTATTGAATGCAATTTCATTTCGTATATAGATATATAACATTTATTCATAATAAAAATTAAATTCATATAAATTGGACCATTGATTGAGGCGACCATAGAGAGCTTATGTTAAGCTTTTAAACACTTTTACATAGGATTGTAATTCATAAAAGTTTATCATGCTATTTTTGTCATAGGTTCATTGGGAATTATTATGATATATGAATTTAGTCGAATCTACAGCAGACTGTTATGTATTACGAACTAGCAATGCAGATGTAATCAAAGTAGTGAATAGATGGGTGTTGACCGAGATCCGCTTGCTCAGGGTAGGACCGATATAGTTTGTTTTAAACAATTACTACGCACAATCTGGGAGTGGGGTCCTAATTTGGGAGTTTGTTTAACAAGGATTATAGTTCAAGCAAATTATTTTAAAATGCATCAGATTTTTAAAACAACATATTTTTTCCGTTGATATTTCACAAAATTTATTCAGTGTTGTGGAAATTAGATTTTGTGAGCCCATTGTCCTCAGCCCTTAAACTGCTGCTGGTGGAAGCGACTGTTAATCGTCTGACACCGTTATGTAAGCCACAAAAGCGACCGTTGATCGTCTAGGACACAAGGTACTTATTATACGGATAAATTGGGAACCAGTTTGGAAATGGTGAACATAAAATAGAATATATATGCGTTTGGTTGGCCGGGGTTGGTTGATAATGAAAGTTAGAATTTAGTAAACAAGAATCTTTTGAAAGTTTATCTCAGTTGTAATTATCAGGACAGAATTTTTGAGTACAAGTAATGAGATGGAAATTTTCTCTAAATTGTATTAAAACTATTAATTTTTCATTAAATTATTTTGAAAGTAAATTGCTACTAAAATATATTAATAGTAATATTATTTGTTTTCGTATCACAGCTATATGCTATTTTGATAACGATTGCGCCCTTACAGGCAAGTGTAAATTGTATGCCAAGTCAGCAAAGTTTGCAGTACGGATAGATCAAGTTCCTAAAATTCATTTTGAGTAATTAAGTTAAAAGACTCATTGTTTCTTGAAAAAAAAGTTGATGAGGAAAAATATATTCTGTCTAATGATGTAGCTTAACACACTCAATTCCATTAAAGATTAGACAGGAGTCTTGTTCTGATTCAAGGCGGACAAAGCAACATCTAACGTTTTTTTCTTTCTTACGCAAATCAGTTCGCTCGCTACCAGAATCAGGACGACCCTGTCTTCTCTTACATGTAAGAATTTGTCCGTGTTCGTAAATTTCTTAAAGAATAAGTATTTTTCTAATGTCAGAGATTTTTCTTAGTAAAGTTCATACCATTGTAACACTTTTCTGAATTTTCTCTATTTTATTTAAATTGCAAAGGAATGATTAATTGTTTAAAGTTTTATATTCATTTGTATTTACAGTTATTATTATTGAAAAAAAGAAGAATTCGCTATCAACTTCATATTTAGATTTAATTTGGAAATAAAATATTCTTTAAGTAATAACGAATATTGTTTAATAATATATTTCAAATTAGTATTCTACTAAAGATAGTACCCCACTCCACACCTTTTATTAAACAGGAATCCCACTGTCTCCACTCTGCAAGATGCATAGTCCTTTAGTTGATCCTTTAATTCAGGCTGTGCTCATTGTCACTTTTATTTGTTTCTGTATTTCATTATTTGTATCATGCTGCAATAATATGCATGCAAAAGAATAATAGCAAGCAAGCACTGCCTAACGAGGGAGAGAAAGAGCATATAAGGGAAACAACTCGAATCAACTCGAATCAAATTAATAACACTACAAACTATCAAACTATAGTTGTTTCCCTTATATCGATGTTCCTCGTCCTAAGATGAAGCGCAATATTTAAGATTGTTAATACTTTATCTTCTTCTTCTTCTTCTTCTTCTTCTTCTTCTTCTTCTTCTTCTTCTTCTTCTCTCTCTCTCTCTCTCTCTCTCTCTCTCTCTCTCTCTCTCTCTCTCTCTCTCTCTCTCTCTCTCTCTCTCTCTCTCTCTCTCTCTCTCTCTCTCTCTCTCTCTCTCTCTCTCTCTCTCTCTCTCTCTCTCTCTCTCTCTCTCTCTCTCTCTCTCTCTCTCTCAAATACAGCCGAATCTTCTATCCTATCGAATACTCTTTGATTTGGTCTAGATTGCTCTGCGTAGCCAAAGTAGCGGGCTCTTAAATTGCGACAGTTATGCTCAAAAGGATCAGCGAATGACTAATTAACTATTAAATGACCAAGTGTATGATAAATAGCCAACACTTGTTGTTCGCGTCTTGTAAATAAATTTGTTGAATTGGTCCATTGTTTTTGAATAAATCTGAGCCCTGTTCCTCACATTATAAGGCAACGAATGGTTGCTAGTATTTTCCATCTTCCTCTCCTGCTGATTTCAATACCCAATGATGATGGTGTTACCCAAATATTTAGTTGTAGCTAATTGAACCAAAAACGTTTAAGTTATATGCCTCAGTATTATGAGATGCGGAAAGAAATTTATTAAGTAGAGTAAACAACGAATGACTTGCTAGTTTCTGTTCAAGTAATATATGTTGTGCTTTTTTATCTCGCGTAGAGGTATACGAAAGTACAAAGCAATAAGCTTTCCTAGTAAACACAAGCTGGGGCTGAAGATTCAGAGCATTTTGTTTTTGTTAATCTAATATTCACAATACAAAATGACTGGATGATTCGCACTTTTACGTATCGCCATTAAAAATCAAATTAACAATGTAATTAAACATAGTTAAAAGAAAGATGACAGCAGCAACTGTTTCCATGCGACCACTAATTTGAACTCCAACACAAATGATAGAACTGTTATTATGATTGAATAGAATGGACACAAGAGACTCATCCTATTTGGATGTTAATATGGTCCAGTTAGTGTAAATTACAGCAAAATTATACAAGGTCCATGGCGAAGGCGTGTATCTATGGATTATCAAAAATCTTCATTGTTCGGTTTTTGCCTTGATAAACTTTTTCTATATACGTTGAACGAAATTGCTGCCTCGAATCGATGCATGTATTAAATACAACAATGGGTTGGATTATTTGGTCTTGCTAGAAAGAGAACAAATTGCTGTTCATGGTATTAACTGGCATTATTTCAGATCACAGGGCATATGACGCTACGGGGCATCATAAATAAATGGAGAGATACGTGACTGATACCGATACATTATGCATTTAAGCTGATACAGAAAACTTAAGAATTAAAGGATGAACACCGTCAAGTCATGGAATTTATTGACTAAAAGGCATAACATATTTTTATTTATTACAGATAAATAGGAAAGGTTCTAGAACTTTTCAAGGATGAGCTAAACGGAATTCCATTAAAGATATTTGTCGGACAAGGTAAACAATTTGTTTTATTCGTTTAGGTTTGTTTAAAGAAAATGAAAGTGTGTAAGGAAGCAGAAACTGTGAAGACAAAACGTATATGAAGTTCGAAATGTATAAATAATGTGCCATAAATATTACGAGGAAATGACTTTAAGCAAATCGCACGATCATAAAATATATAATATGAAATGAGAAATGTATCTATGATGTAAGTATTTGATATCCATATTAACGACTCTTCTGTAACATTTTCTCTACCTTTTTGTACCATGTATGTTATGTGGATGATTTTCTGTCAATTGATATAGTCGTAAAATAATATAATTCCATTTCTGTATTGATCATTGACGGTTATTGCAAATGTTGTGTTTAATCTGAAACCCTGTTGGAATTTCAAAAGGTACATTGGATAATTATTTGTCAATATCTGGAAATCCAGTGATATTCTAAATTTATTTCAGTACACAGCAACATGGACGTCTTCATTGTCACATTATCCTGACACAAGTCCTAACACTAACCTCTTAATGCTGAGCGCCAAGCGAGGCAGCTGTTAGTACCATTTTTTTTTGTTTCAAGTCTTTGGTATGACTCGGCCGGGGTTCGATCCCACGACCTCCTGCATCCGAGGCGGACGCTTCTACCACTAGGCTACCGGAGCGGTTACAGATCACATTTTATACTGCTGACTGTATTTATTACATTCTGATACTACCAACAGCCATTGTGTCACATTCTGATACCGATGACAGCCTTCATGTCACATATTTATACTGCTGGCAGCATTTATGTCACATTATAGTACAGGTGACTTCTTTTTTGTCACATTCTGAGACTGCTGACAGCCATTATGTCATATTGTGATACTGCTGACAGTCTTTGTGTCATATTCGGAAGGGTTAACGATTTTGTTTTCCAACCCAATCATGAAAATAATGTAATCTACTAGACAGCATGAGCGTACGTCTTTTACTTGGTTATCATCAGATTTTTATTCTTAACATCTATTGTGTGACATAGCTGTACATTGTTTACATCTGATGAGTGGCATAACTGTATGTTGTTTGCATCTAATCAAATGACAAAGCCGATACAAAAGATTACAAAAAATACAGGCTTAATATGAAACGTAAAAACATATTGTTTTTTGTTTATGCTTGATTTTATGATTCGAATTGTTCTGACCAGCTTATATTTTGTAGATCGTGATTGTTCATTTGAACTGTATACACTGCTGTAAATTTCACATTGTGACCGGCTTATATTTTGTAGATCGTGATTGTTTTTTGAACTGTATACACTGCTGTAAATTTCACATTGTGACCGGCTTATATTTTGTAGATCGTGATTATTTTTTGAACTGTATACACTGCTGTAATTTTACATTGTGACCGGCTAATATTTTGTAGATCGTGATTGTTTAGTTGAATTGTATACACTGCTGTAAATTTCCCATTGTGACCGGCTTATATCTTGTAGATCGTGATTGTTCATTTGAATTGTATATACTGCTGTAAATTTCACATTGTGACCGGCTTTTATTTTGTAGATCGTAATTGTTCATTTGAATTGTATACACTGCTGTAAATTTCACATTGTGACCGGCTAATATTTTGTAGATCGTGATTGTTTTTTGAACTGTATACACTGCTGTAATTTTACATTGTGACCGGCTTATATTTTGTAGATCGTGATTGTTTAGTTGAATTGTATACACTGCTGTAAATTTCACATTGTGACCAGCTTATATTTTGTAGATCGTGATTGTTCATTTGAATTGTATACACTGCTGTAAATTTCACATTGTGACTGGCTTATATTTTTGTAGATCGTGATTGTTCATTTGAATTGTATACACTGCTGTAAATTTCACATTGAGACCGGCTTATATTTTGTAGATCGTGATTGTTCATTTGAATTGTATACACTGCTGTAAATTTCACATTGTGAAAGGCTTATATTTTGTAGATCGTGGTTGTTCATTTGAATTGTATACACTGCTGTAAATTTCACATTGTGACCAGCTTATATTTTGTAGAAAGTGATTGTTCATTTGAATTGTATACACTGCTGTAAATTTCACATTGTGACCAGCTTATATTTTGTAGATCGTGATTGTTCATTTGAATTGTATACACTGCTGTAAATTTCACATTGTGACCGGCTTATATTTTGTAGATCGTGATTGTTCATTTGAATTGTATACACTGCTGTAAATTTCACATTGTGACCGGCTTATAATTTGTTGATCGTGATTGTTCATTTGAATTGTATACACTGCTGTAAATTTCACATTGTGACCGGCTTATATTTTGTAGATCGTGATTGTTCATTTGAATTGTTTACACTGCTGTAAATTTCACATTGTGACCGGCTTATAATTTGTAGATCGTGATTGATCATAAATAACATCACAAATATTATTTCAAATTTGGAGTGTAGTTACTAATTAGGACACGTACAACAACCATAAAATTTAGTGTAATTAATACCATTCGCGCAGGTATTAATACGTTTTGAACAACTGTTAGTCCATTTATTTCTCCATTTCGTAATTTAATAGCATCTACGTATATACACGCATCTTTACAATGCGAATATATCCCGCCATACGCTTTGGTTTTCTCTTATAATAATTTACTGATTTAAATTTAAATACACGACTCTTTATGTTTAGCTGGTTCAGTTTTGAATATCTCCATGTTTTCATTATTTGGATTTAACTGTATTATCAATAATCATTTCATCCAATAGTGTTTTAATCCACTTCATTTTTGCATGCTGATCTTTCGTGTTTAAACTCTTGTTTCAAATCAGGCAAAATCGTTTTTCTACAACTCATCTTCTTGTCTAATTCGTCAATAATATCATGTTCCAGGTTTTTTGTAAAGCAACTTATCAGGGACGCAAGTAGAATTATTTTTGGGATGGGGGACGGGGCAAACATGTATTTAATTTAACTTCATACTTTTTTAATCTATGTTATTTTTTTTCTGATATCATTTATTTCACTGTTATCATTTATTACACTGCTATCATTTATTACACTGATATCATTTATTACACTGCTTGGGTATTGTTGGCATCGTTCTCTCTTTGCAAGGTTTCCGCGTGTGCAATGTTATTATTTACAGGTGAAGTTTTGGGATATATTCTCTTGTTTGCCCTCTAGTACTTTATATATCTGGCATGTGTAAGGTCCTTCATTTTCAACTACAGCAGTATTTCAACTCATTTATAGAAACTCATTACTCTTTAAAACTCAGATTGTTCGCGTTTAAACTCTCTTTGCAATGATCTTAACTCGTCTCCTTCCAACTTTTAAACGATTCACAATACTCTTTCCATTCACAAGAACATATTTTTTTTACCGTTCATTACCATTCATTAATTATTTTAAAATCCTTGTTTAATTTTGCATATGTCCTCAAATTTTTTAAAAAGAAAACCTTTTTTGTTGTTGTTCTGGAGCTTAACGGATTTTTTTCAGCACACGATTTGCTATACATGGTGGCCAGTATTAATGGTGGAGGAAGAAACCGGGAAATCCGCGAAAACAACCACCGACCCACGAGAAGCTTTCTCACAGATCCACATTCGCCGAATCTTAGACTCGAACTCACGCAGACATAGGTGAGATCGCAGTGATCCCTAACGGAGCGCGCTTTAGACCACTTGGCCACTCGGGGCCCCTAAAAGGCACAATCACCTAAATTACTTCTTTGATTTTAAATACAGTGAAATTAGGAAGGCACCCATTTACAAATATTGCCTCGTTTTTCTAAATAATAACTGTTTCACCTATCTTAAATATCTTGGCAGGTAAAAGAATAGTTTAATACATAAATTCTGTTTTTCATTTGCCTGTCTGCTGTAACTGTGGTCATATCTATTAATCTGTGTATATTAGCAGTATTTGAAGTAGCTTTGTTCAATGAACGTCCCATTTTACGGTTTTATTTTGGGTAGAGTGCTGCCAGATTATGTCTTTAAAGTCACATCAATACTTTTCACCGCATAGATGCACTCTTTATCCCCACGTGCCACTTTAAGCTTCATGAGTTGGTATCCCAGTTTCGAGTTCGGTGACGGCACCATCATTCACGATACATCAATATTGTAAATATTGTAAATGCATGACAAGACACAAAAACCTTGAGTTCAGTAAACGTATGCCTGAACGAGATTGACAAATAAAAAACAGCGCCGTTTTTTTTTACTCAAGCATCAGACGTAATTTTAATGGATCATCTTTTGTACATTTCAGCACCAAATAATTTTGATGCATCGTCTTTTGCACACTTCAGCATCAAATAAGTCTAATTCAACATCTTTTGTACACATAAGCATCCGGTAATGCTAAAATATCCCAGGAACAGATTCATTTGCATGCATTGTCTTTTGTACAGGTTTAGCATAATGCAAATGTATGCAGTTACCCATATCAAAACACGTAATATTAAATTCTTCATATTGCACCGTTTATTTATATTGATATCCTATATAATTATGATTATATCACTGTCGTTTTACGTATGATTTAAATGGAGAAAAATCAGTCAAGCGTGGTCGATTTAGCAATATATTTAAAGTGTAAAAGATGATGGTTCTTGCTAAGTTTTAAATTTACGGTAAAAAGGAACGAAACGAAAACGTTTACTGTTAGTGGAGGCATTTAACGATTGACTGTTTAAGTAAAATGAAATATTTTAATGGGTGTGATATTTCAAATCTAGTTATGTCTTAAACACACACACACACACACACACACACACACACACACACAGAGATGCGAGGGTATGTATACAATAATTAAGTCTCATCAAAATACAGTCATTCTGGATTTTTTAAAACTTATTTTGAGGCATATAGAAGTTAATATTTAATGGTTAGAAATATACACCAAAAAAGATCAGAGTTCTTTTCCTGGATAAGATAATACGTGATAATATAAACAGAATTATATTTACTTCTGAGAATCGAACCCGTGTCAGCTATTTGCGGCACCAATCACCCTGCCTGCGTGCGCAAATCGTCCAAACCTTCTCAACTCTGAGTGCATCCCGAAACAAAAAATACAGCATAATCATGGATATAGGAATTTATTCGTAGCAGACATGCAAGCACAACGACACAATAATTAAACGTCACCTAAACTATATTGACTCCGATTACTCTGACAGTAATCGATGCATTTAAAAGTTATTACAGGCAGTTACAAGTACACACTAGACACAGCGGAAGGAGTGATTCCTGGATACTGTATGTGTTTGCGTCACACATAGACACGCGCGCGCGTGTGCGCGCACGCGCGTTGCTACCAAACGAGAACTTTTCGGGTTATGCTAGCCTTATGTCTGAAGAAACAGATGGGATCATTTCAAGACCAGTATAAACTCTTGGCACAAAACCCTTTAATAATATTAACAAAATATGTACATGATCTGCAAAAGTGCTATTCGACATATGTAATGAGAAACAAAAATCAACAAACCAAATAATAAATACACAAGAATGTAATGCATATCTGCAGATAAAATCTGACGAAAACTGATTTTTAAAGTAATCACAATGCAAATGCACAAGGTGTAGAAAGATACACATGATATGATGGAAAATAATGGAGGGACGCGCAGATAAAACTTGCTTCGCCGCTTGTAG